ACCACCCGGCAAGGGAGCTCTTAAACACCACTCTGCACAAGATCTCTAGTTCCCAGCTGTGGTGGCTGAATGACTTCTGGAGGTTCAAACACATGTATACTTAGTCCCTAGTTGGTGAAACGGTGGAAAGAACTAGGAGGTGTGGCCTTGTTGGAAGAGGTGTGTCCAAGAGGTGGGCTTGGGGGTTTCAAAAGCCTGTGCCATCCCCACTAGTTAGCGCTTTCTCTCTCTGTCTCCTCTCTGTCTGTCTGTCTGTCTGTCTGTCTCTCTCTCTCTCTCTCTCTCTCTCTCTCCTGCCTCCTGTTTGTGGATCAGATGCAAGCTCTCAGCTACTGCTCCAATACCATGCTTGCCTGCCTGCTGCCATGCTCCTCACCATGATGGTCATGGACTCTAACCTAACCCCCTGGAACCGTGAGCCCCAAATTAAGTGATTTCTTTTATAAGTTGTCTTGGTCATGATGTTGTCACAGAAATCGAAAAGTAACCAAGATATCAGTAAATCACTAAAGTGTTTCAACTCCAGATGAGTCAGTCAGGGGTCAGAACCCGGTGCTCCCCCTCAGTATCCACTCTATCCACCCTGGCTTTCCAGACAGCAATGGCTCACCTCTACTTTCCTAACTCTGTTCTGTTTGTCGCTGGTGCCTCGTCAGCCCTCAGGGCCCTAGAATTGCTGTGTGAACAGTTAAAGGTTTGGGGAAATCATCTTAGTGCTCCTGACTTCTTCCATCCCCAAACAGCCCTCAGTCACTGTTTGTGCTCTGTGATTGGCAGCTTGTCACAAGACATTTATCAGGGAATACTGCTGTGAACCATGAGGGTAAAGGACACTTCCTTTGTAGCATGTTGTGATCACAGGTACCAGGAGATTTTCTATTAGGTTTAGGGGGAGACATCAGACATCACTTCTGATGTGTGTCAGCCTTGGCATGTGTATCCTGAGAGGTCTGTGAAGAGTCTGATGTCATCACCCTGATGTACCGTTACCACCTATTTCTGGTTTTTCCAGATCAAGCTCCCTTTCTGGGACTACGAGGTCCTTATTCCTCGGGGCGTATGCCTGTGGTTCGATTGACTGTGTTAGTGGTTCTGTTGAGCCATCCTGCTTTTTGTGATTCAGGACTGCTCCTGCTAGAAGGTAGCAGGGAACAGCAGTGAGGGGAATGTCTCAGGGCGCTAATGCTTATGCCCAGGACAAGGTAAAAGAGGCAGAAGTCGGAGAAGAGGCAAGTGTTCAGGGTGTAAGGAAAAAAGAATAACTTATGAGCATCAAGCTTTTGGGTGTGAATGAAGGTAGAGACCATTTTATTTTGGTGATAGGACAGACTAGGGCTCTGTGTCAAGGGCTGAGGGCAAGAGTCTTCTCCATGAATAGGAAATTGGGAAACCGGATGTGGTAGGGACAGTGTAACCAAGGGCATGGGGACCTTTCTCTAGTCCTCAATGTAAGGTGATCCTTTGGGTTTGTTTCTGGTGTTGTCTCCTCACCTGTAGGTGTTGACTCCAACCCCACACCACCCCATGGACCTGTGTCTCCAACTGTGTCCTTCAAGCCCCTACCACGTACTGCCCTTCGGATGAGCCACTTGACTGGGGCCATGGCATCGGTTCCATCTCCTGACACCTCCTTGTCTTCCTCTTCCACTGGATTGGCTTTTACAAAGGGAGCTGGTGACCAGGCCAAGGCTGCCACCTGTCTTAGCACTGACGGGGAAGTACCCACCAATTCTGTGACCACCAGCTCAGTGCCTTCTTCTGCCAAAGTGGTGCCGGTGACTACCATGTCTTCCAAAGTGTCCTCCAAGTTGCCCATCAGCACTAAGTCCACTGCTGCAATGCCCTCTACTGTGCCCACCAGTACAGCACCATCAAAATTACCCATCCACTCGGCATATGTTGGCACAATGCCATCCAAAGTGCCTGCTAGTGTGGCCAAAGCACCTGCCAACATAATGCCACCCGACAGGAGCAGCAACCGAGCCAAGGTGAGTTGTTGTTCCTCCTAATAGTGACTCTGTCCACTTTGCCAAGACAAGCTGGTCCTCTGCCCTGCCCTCAGACCCTTTTGGTCTCCTCTGTGCTGTCTCTGGTCTGGTTCTTCAAGGTCCTGGGACAGGGAATCAGCCTCATCCAGACCTTACCCCTTGTTTTCCAGGAGGAATGATAGGCATGGGAGCTTCTAAGCATGGACCGTCAGCAGGGCGGGGCATGGGACCGCCCCCACTGACATGTGTATTAACTCATTTGGAGCTCAAGAGTAAGCTCAGCAGTAGCATTTTGTAGTAGTGAGGATGGATCATGGTGGCTCATGTGCCCTATTCACTGGACCGTGGTCTCAAGCGTCCAGCTTGGAGCAGCTACCCAGCCCAGTCACCCCTCTAGCCACTTTCCCAGTCTTACAGCTGTTCACCTAAAGGAGCCAAGTTCACAAGCCTTGGGATCTTGTGGCTGCCTTGTGGCTCTCAGGCTCAGGTAGTACAAGACGGGTCACACGCCAGCAAGGGCTCCCTGGCGGTGACACAGTAGCTCAGTGAGTGGGAAGGGCTGCCCTGGAGGGGTTCCTGCAGGGTCTTGGTCACTTCCGGCTGTGCATGTATCTCAGCTATTGTGGGAGGCTAGTTCATGCCCTGGCCACATAACCTGGCTTGTCCACCTGCCACCTGAACCCCTTCTAACACTCTCCTTGTGTTTCCAGGAGACCCTCGAGCTTCCAGCAGCCACGGTCACCACTAGAGGCGGCCTGCCCGGACCTGAGAGCTTGCACTCTGGGCCAGAGATGAGCAAGCCAGGTGTGTTGGCGTCCCAGTTGGACGAGCCATTCTCAGGCTGCTCTATGGACCTTGCCATCAGCCCTAGCAGCTCCTTGAACTCAGAACCCAATCATGGTCCAGAGGAGAACGAGTATTCGTCCTTTAGGATCCAGGTGAATGAGGACCCCAGTGCTAACCTCCTGGCAGGAAACCCTGGGCCACTAGCCACCCGGGAGCCCCCAGAAGAGGAAGAGGAAGAGCTTTGTGTCAGTTCAATACCCTGGCCCAAGTGGCTTGGGGCGGCACTCTTGGCTGCGTTCCTGGCAGTGATGGTGTACCGTAGTAGGCGCCTGGCGCCCTGAAGCCTCAGCTGTGTGCCACTCACTTGCTCACTTCTGCCAAGCATGTCCTCTAGGCTTGGGCTGCTGGAGACTGAGTCGGGAACTTAGAGATGGGGAGGTCCATTGAACTATCTGGGTGGGAGCTGCACCGAGGCTCCATCCACCGTGGGGAAGGGGAGAGACATTCTTTCCATCCTAGTTCATGCCCTCTTCTGGTCTTTAGCTTTGGGGCACTGGATTACCGCCACTACTTCCGACCCGCCCACATGGCAGTATAGGATCTCATGCTGTGTGCGCCTCAAGAGGTATCCCCACCAGCCTCATCTCTGTTGGCCCAAGCCTGAAGATCAGGAGATACCATACTCTGTTGATAGTGCTCCTCATCCTGCCCAGGTCTCTTGAAACGAGCACAGGTGTATTGGTGAAAACTGCCATAACATCTAGTGCCTTCCACCAGCAACCCAGCCTAAGGCCTTGGCACTAGAGCCTAGGAGCAGTGGAGTGGCTGGTTTCTAGGGAGCTTTGAATCATCAGTCTCTGGTCCCTCTCCACAGCCAGGCAACCCTAAGGGAAGGTCTGAAGGTTCCCTGTGGACTCCAAGAACGCCAGAAGCAGCTGTCAGGCCTGAGGAAGACTCTGGGAGCCCTGTTCTAGCCCTCCTTACCCCACCTCTTCACTTCCTCCCTCCCTCCTGGTCTCCTTGCTCTTTGGTTTCCTATACTGGATGATGGAACACCTAGTGGGCGGAGCTCAGGCTGGCCTTGGATTTCAGTTCCACTCTTTCTCTGGCTTTAGCAGACATTTAGCTTCTCTAGTCTTTTCCCCAGTGTGGACAGTGAGGAGCCCTTCCTTTTACTGGGCTCGTCTGAGACTGAAGGATATAGATATTTCCGTAGTGCCTAGCCCAGAGGGAATGACTACCAAGTACTGACTCTCCTGCCCACCCTGGTTGAGCTCAGGTGAGCTTGAGAGGCAGAGTACATGGTGGTAATGGCACAGTCTTTGGCTTTGAGAAGAAGCCTTGGCCTGCATAGTGCTTCTGTCTCTAGCACTGTGTAGTCTGCCTGTGGTCTCTGACAAGGTGTAAGCCTCTGTGCCTCACTTTTCTCACCTGTGAGATGGGGCGAATATGTATATGTATGTGCTAATATGTTCTAATATTATCAAGATAATTAAATTAAAAGTTTATCTGCACATCTTGTGAGTTCTGCACTGCTTAGGGGTTGGATACATGTTGTCACTTACATAGAAAGGTGCTGAGGCTCTTGGCTGCACTGTTAGAAACAGGTGCTAGCAGGTTCTTTCCTCCTCCATGGGCAGGAAGTTTAGTTACATCTACATTAGACATACGATGAGGTTTAGGCTGGGTTTGGTGGCACACACCTTTAATCCCAGCACTCAGGAGGCAGAGGCAGGCAGATCTGTATGAGTTTAAGGCCAGCCTGGTCTACATAGCAAGTTCCAGGCTACCAGAGCTACACAGTGAGACCCTGTCTCCAGAAAAAGAAAAGAAATACAGTGAGAAAAAAAAAAAGAAAGAAAGAAAGAAATACAGTGAGACATATTGAGGGTATCCTCATGGGTTCTTTTAAGGTGCCCTTTGCTGGATAAGTGATAGGCATGGAGCCAACTCCATCTCTGGGCTCTGTTGTGAACACAAACCTTAGAGGCATCAGGAATGGGGGATACTATCAGTCTCCCGGCATGCCCTAGGGAAAATGACCTAATGACCTGTACTTTGTGAACGTCAAGGTGAGCTTCAACCTGTGCCATGAATCTAGATGTAATTTGTCCCCGTTGTCTGTACTACTTTTTAATCACTGTCCTTCCTTCTTTATTTTCTTTCTTCCTTCCTTTCTTTCTTTTTTTTTCTTTCTTTCTTTTTTTTTTTTGAGTCAAGGTTTTTCTGTGTGGCCTTGGCTGTCCTGAAACTTGCTCTGTAGACCAGGCTGGCCTTGAACTCAGAGATCCACCTGCCTCTGCCTCCCGAGTGCTGAGGTTAAAGGCGTGCACAATCACTGCCCAGCTCACCTTTTGTTTCTAACCAACCTGTGGACTCCCTACCCTCTCCCAGGTGCCATGCTGGCTATGCTAGTGAAAGAGACATCTCAATAATACCATATGTAGAGCTCTCAGAGAGACATCTCAATAATACCATATGTAGAGCTCTCAGAGAGACATCTCAATAATACCATATGTAGAGCTCTCAAAGAGACATCTCAATAATACAATATGTAGCCTTACAGAGTGTCACCCAGATGGTGAGAGTTCAAGCACAGTAACTGGTCACTAGGCATCTCTTAGATCAAGTAAGTGCAGGAAGTGTCAAAGGCTTTCCCTGCACTTTGCAAACTTTGATGACTAGGCCTGCATTTAATGTCCTTCATCTCAGCTGTTCTCAACTTGGAGGCATCTCAAATGCCAGGGGTCCTATGTTTGTGCGTTGCTTTCAGCTGCAGTGGGATTCATAGCTGTGTAGAAGGAAGAGTTGGGGCAGGTGACCCTTACAGCCATGATCTGTACAAGATGAACCGGAACCCAGGCATCTGTACCCACGGGTGTCTGGGTACACATACCATGGACCTGAAGAAACACAATTTCTTTTAGGATGGTCATTGTTGGCTGGAGGAACCAGTGCTTCCTAAGCACCCATGCACAGATTAACCTGCAAAAGAGCCCTGTCCATCTTCTTTCTCTGGTGAAGAATTCCCCAAAGCCCCAGAACTCTATTGCTCCTATGCCCAGCAAGTCGCAGTGGGCCGTGATGAATTCAGGACAGTGCCATCCCTTCACTTCCTTCCCCTTGCTAGATGCCCTCATTATGGGACTGTCAGAGATGAGAGACACCCATCATGGGTGTGCTCCATTACATCAGGGACCGTATCATGCCACTTGAGGCCTGGCAACCTTTCTAGCAGGCAGAAATTCAAACATGAATAACTGAGGTATAAGTAACATGACTCCTTATACCTCCTAGGAACAGAATCACTCAAGCCCTAAGGTCCATATTTTCCATAGATGTACTGTCATACAGCTGAGGGCTGAGACACCTCCATCCAAGGAAAATAGATGGCGGGTTCTTGGTCTAATGTGTCTGTCAGAACTTGTATCTTTCCATAGAGGACAATCATATACTCTACTGTGCTCAGTTTTCTGTTTGTATCTCTTTAGCCCAAGGCTACAATGGATATAGGACCTGTTAGATGTAGTCACTGAATAATTAGCCACTGTCTTGCTACTAACAACAGCAGCAATATGATAAAGGGCCCCCATTTACACTATACCTCGTTCATGTTCCAGACTCTATGCCCAACACTTACCATATATTAGGTCATTTAATCCTCACATTGACCTTATGAAAGAGACACTATTAGGGACTCAATTTATAGCTGGCTTGTAAGTTGGAAGGAGGAAAGATCTGAGGGGACAATGATCCCTGAACCCCAGATATGGATGCTTCTTATGTCAGTGAACTTCAGCTGACCTGGTGTCTATCTGGAGCCAGGACCACATTCAAAGTGATATTTTCACACCACAACATTCCTGCCCAATATGCCAAGATCTATCATCTGTCCTAAGTAACAAAGTAACAGTCTATAATTGATATAGTCTCAGGGATGACATGACCATGTGACTATAATCTCTGTGTATGTCTCAAAGTCAGAACCCTCAGGCTAGATGTGATGAGGTAGGAGATGTGAACCTATAATTCCAGTCCTTAGGAAGTTCATTGATTTGGCAGGTATTGGCTACTTATTAAAGGAGTTAATAACCTTGTGCCATGTTCAAGGGGTAAGGGGTAAAGTTAGGAAGACACAATGGATGCATTCAGCAAGCTGGGAATCACAATATGTGATATAAGGAAGTAAGCTTTCACATTATTGGGGTTTTTGTTTCTGGCTTTTTTTTTTTTTTTTTTTTTTTTTTTTTTTTTTTTGAGACAGGATTTCTATGTGTAACATCTCTGGCTATCCTGGAACTTGCTTTGTAAACCAGGTTGGCTTCGAACTCCCAGACATCCACCTGCCTCTGCCTCCTGAGTGCTAGGATTAAAGGTGTGCCACCACCAGCAGGCATTGTAGCCGTAAGTTTCTGTGTCCTGCAGCTGCTTGGTCCCAAGTAAACACACAGAGGCTTATATTAATTAAAACTGTTTGGCCTATTGCTCAGGCTTATAACTAACTGGCTCTTACACTTAAATTGACCCATAATCCTTATCTATGTTTAGCCACGTGGCTTGGTACCTTTTCTCAGTCCAGCATTCTCATCTCACTTCCTCTGTGTCTGGCTGGCCACTCTTGTCTCTGCCTTTCTTCTTCCCAGCCTTCTCCTAGTCTGGTCACCTCACCTGCACTTCCTGCCTGGCTACTGGCCAATCAGCGTTTTATTAAACCAATAGGAGTGACAGATCTTTACAGGGTACAAGAGCATTACCCCACATCCCTGGGTTGGTTTTGTTTTTTGTTTTTTGGGTTTTTTTTGGGGGGGGGGTATTTTAAGACAGGGTCTCTCTATTATAATCCTGGCTGTCCTAAAACTATGTAGACCAAACTTACTTCAAACTCACAGAGATCTGCCTGCTTCTGCCTCTGGAGTGCTGAGGTTAAAAGCATGGGCCACCACACCTGGCTTCATATTATTCTTTCATGTGATTGAAAAAAAAAAAACTTACTTTGTACCCACCATGTCAAGAGCATTGGGGTGGGTTTTGGTGACACTAAGTAACAGAGACCCTGCCCTAAGAGTTATCCCCTCTCGCTACTCACTGTCTCTAATATAGTAGGGCCTAAGGAAATGTCCCTAGGGCACGAGGGCAATGAGAGAGAAGGAAAGTTTATTTTGCCATGCTTTCTACCCTTACTAATTATAGTAACTAAGCTAGGCATGGTGGTGCAGCATGCTCATAATCCTGGCACTCAGGAGGCTGAGGCATGAGAATTGCTGCAAGTTCAAGGCCAAGGCCCCATCTCAAAAATAAGAAATTTATAATAATGTGATGATTAATGTACAATAATACAATAACATACATTAATAGTAATATATAATAATGAATGATTAATGTGTAATACTGTGATGATTAATCTTCATTGTCAGCTTGACTGGATTTAGAATCAACATGGGAAGCATGCTTCTGGGTGTGACTGGGAAGATCTTTCCAGGAGGTTCGCCACTGTGACTTACTTCCCTGCATAATAGGCTATGCTCTCACTCAGGCTGTGAGCCCGAATAAACCCATCCTTCTTGAGTTGCTTTTGTCATAGACATTTTGTCATAACAATGAAAAAAGTAATACAATAAACTAAATATGGGAGAGCTTACAAGAGAAAAACATAAAACAACTGACACTCATAAATTTGGGAAGAACGTAAGTTGCTATTATGGTCTGAATGAATGTTCCTCTCCCCAAATTCATAGACTGAAACCCAGTACCAAGGATGTGGACCTTTGGGATATGACTAGATGATGGTGGTGCCACACTTATGAATGGAATTCATCCTCTTAAAGAGGCTTGGAGACCAGTGAGATGACCTCTTGCCATCAAACCCAGTGACCTGAGTTTGATCCCAGGACTCACATGGTAGAGGGACAGAGCCATCTCCTCTGATCTTCACACATGCACATGGCACACATGCACTGTGGCACACATGCACATGGCACACTTGTACCATGGCACACATGCACCGTGGCACACATGCACATAGCACACTTGTACGTGGGACACATGCACATGGCACACTGTAATTTTAAAAAAAGAAGCATGGAGCTCTTCTGCCCTGCTACCATATAAAGTAGCAGGGAGAGGGTATGGTATCTTGGAATGCAGAGAGTAAGCTGAATTTGCTGGTGCCTGAATCTTGGCTTCCAAACCTCCAATAATGTCAGAAATAAATTTCTGTTGTTTATACACTGTCTAGTCTAAGGTGCTTGTTGATAACAGTACAAGTGGACTAAGACAGTTGATGTAACCCTGTTGGAAAACTAGGCTTAATCTACGCCCAGAAATTCCATTCCTTGGCATGTTCATGACAGAAGTAAGCACTTGTGTTCTCCAAGAAGTGTAAAATGTTTCTAACCAGCACATTATCCATAATATCCCCAAACTGGATACAACCTCAAATGGCAATCTACAGTAAAATGTTGTTATGATTTGGAGATGAGTGGCCCCCACAAAATAGCTCATGGATTGAATGCTT